CGTTGTCGTCGTCGTCGTCGTGGTCGTCGTCGCCGTCGTCGCCGTCGTCGCCGTCGTCGCCGTCGTCGTCGTCGTCGTCGTCGTCGTCGTCGTCTCTGGGACCATACCATCTGTGGGGGGGGGGGGCCCGAGGAATCCTGGGACCATACCATCTGGGGGGGGGGGCCCGTGGGCCCTCGACCCTGGATCATCTATGGCCGCTCTTGGGGCTGTCTTGATTGCTCCTTGCGCTGGAATGGGCGCCACAGGAGCCGTCCTGGGACGGTCGGGGGCTGTCTTGGGAGCATCATGGGGACTCCTGAAACGTCTTGGGCCGATCTTTGGGGCCCGTATTGTCGTCGTGGACGCTTGGAAAACGAAAAGCACGGGAGTTGCGAAAATATACGTTTCCTACAGGTTTTGCAATGTGTTTTGCTTACGTCTTCTAGGAGCCCACTTGGAGCGTTTTGGGGGCCTCGTGGGTGCATCTTGGAGCCGTCTGGGGCCGTCTTCGGTTCCTGTGGGGCCGCCTGTGGACCGTCTGGAGGCCCTCTTGGGCCATCTGTGGCCGCTCTTGCGGCTGTCTTGACTGCTGCTTGGGCTGTAAGGAGCGCCGCGGGGGCCATCTGGGGGCCGTCGGGGGCCGTGTGGGGAGCCTCATGGAGGCCTCTAGAGCCGATTTTTTGGGCCCGTATTGTCGTCGTGGACGCTCTGACAGCGGAAAACACGAGAATTTCGACATATTGCGAACGCGTGCGGTTTCCTATAGGTTTTGATGCGATGTTTGCTCGTGCGGGCTCTCTCGGACGACTCCTGGGAGCCCACTTGGAGCGTTTTGGGGACCTCGTGGTGCATCTTGGGGCTGTCTTGGGCGCCTGTGGGGCCGTCTGGGGACCGTCCGGAGGCCTTCTTGGGCCATCTGTGGTCGCTCTTGGGGCTGTCTTGACTGCTGCTTGGGCTGTAATGGGCGCCGCAGGAGCCGTCCTGAGGCCGTCGGGGGCCGTCTTGGTAGCCTCATGGAGACCTCCTGAGACGTCTTGGGCCGATCTTGGGGGCCCGTATTGTCGTCGTGGACACTTTGAAAGCGAAAAGCACGCGAGTTGCGAACATGTATTTTTTTTCATAGGTTTGGAAACAAATTTTCCTTGTGCGGGCTCTCTCGGACGTCTTCTGGGAATCCACTTGGAGCGTTTTGGAGGCTATCTGGAGCGTATTTGAACGCTCTTGGACCGTCTCGCACGCCCTCTTAAAAGTGTCAAAACCATCCAAGACCCTCGAGGCTTCATAGAAAAGGCCCTCCGAGGCCGTCGTGGAGCGCCTTAGGACCGCCCAGGATCGCGCGGGGCCCCGCAGGAGGGCCCTACCGACAGTTGACCTTTGCTCATTCCGGCACGTGCTCCTGCTGGCCATGTAGGGGAGACTAGTGTGCACCCGTGCTTGCTGCCACTGGCGGCCGTTTGGGGCCGTCTTGGGCGCCCCTGGGGCAGTGTCGGGACCGTCTTGGGGCCGTCGTGCTAGAGTGCACGAAGAGGACCCCAGCACGCCGCCGGGTGCGGGCCCATCATTCTGCCACGAGAGGCCTTCTGTGGCGAAATGCACCCAGCCGTATCTTAAAGGGGCCCGAAGACCTCAAGAGGGCCGCAACAGCGCCCCCAGGAGGCCCCAAGAGGGCCCCAAACCGTATGTATGTTACATGTTTCGTGGGTTTGCGAGAGGGGCATCCAAGTACATGCGTCATGGGGCCCTGTCGGGGCCCTGTTGGGGCCCTGCTGGCCCCCTCTTGGGGCCCCTAGGGGGCGCTCCCACCCTGTCATGGCCCCCTCGTGGGGCCAACATGGGCGCCTGAGGAGCCGTCCTGGCGCAGTCTTGAGCTGTCTTAGGGGCCATCCTGGCAGCCTCCTGAGGCATCCTGGGACGATCTTGAGGGCCTGTGTGGCCGTCTTGGACGCTTCTCAGACGAAAATCAAGGGAACTCCCGAAATGTACGTTTCCCCTGGGATTGGGACATGTCTTTGTTTGGGCTATCCTGGGGCTCTCTCTCTCTCTCTCTGGAGCCCACATGGAACATTTAGGGACCTCTTGGGCCGTCGGGCGGCTGTCCTGGGCGTCTTCGAGCGCTCGGGGCCTCTTGGACAGTCTTGATACATCATTTTATTATTCGCGATAATGCCCGTCACCAGCGGCGCCCCCCCTGGTAACGTCACGATTCGCGCCGGCGGCGTCTGGGAATGCCTTGAAAAGTGCCATGCTGCTAGGGCTAACATACAGATCGGAAGAAAAGTGGTATACAAATGCGCCGCAATTCCTACCACCACCACTACCGCTACCACTACTACTACTACTACTACTACTACTACTACTACTACTACTACGACCACTCCTACTCCTACTACTACTACTACTACTACTACTACTACTTCTACTACTACTACTACTACTACTTTCTACTACTACTACTACTCTTACATTACTACCTACTACATACTCTTCTACTACGACTCTACTCCTACTACGACTACTACTACTACATACTTACATACTACTCATAACCCTAACTATACTACTTACTTCTTCGACGGATCCGTTGGACTACGACTACGACTACGAATTACGACTACGACTACGACTGCGACCTTCGTCTTACGATACGTCTACGATACTACTACTAATACAACAACTACTTTTACTACTACTACTACTTCTACTCGTAAAATTTCGTAACTACATGCTACTACTACTATTTCGCTTACTACTACTACTACTACTACTACTTTCTAGTACGACTATTAGCTACTACTACTACTACTACTACTACTACTTTACTACCGCACTTACTGCTACTTACACTACTACTACGACTACTACTTCTACTACTATACTACTACTACTACTACTACTACTACTACTACTACTACTAGTACTACTACTACTACTGATACTACTACTACTACTACTACTACTACTACTACTACTACTACTACTACTACTACTACTACTACTACTACTACTACTACTACTACTACTACTACTACTACTACTACTACTACTACTACTACTACTACTACTACTACTACTACTACTACTACTAATACTACTACTACTACTACTACTACTACTACTACTACTACTACTACTAGTACTACTACTACTACTACTACTACTACTACTACGACTACTACGACGACTACTACGACGACGACTACGACGACGACGACTACTACTACTACTACCACTACGACGACTACTACTACTACTACTACTACTACTACTACTACTACTAATAATACTAATACTATTACTAAGACTACTACTAAGACTACGACTACGACTACGACTACGACTACTACTACTAGTACTAGTACTAGTACTAGTACTACTACTACTACTGCTACTACTACTACTACTACTGCTACTACTACTACTACTACTACTACAACTAAAATTATCCCGGCAAAGCAACGTAAC